CCTGTCAACCTGGGCCTGACGCTGGTACTAGAACCATTTTTGCAATTTTTGCAAGGCATGGTTTAGAGCCTCGGCAGGGATCGAACTCGCAGCTTTCCGGCGATATCGGATGGATGCATTGCCGAAAATACTTTCTCATTCTTGTCATTTGATTGAATTTCTGATATAAATGCGGTAACGCAACCTAAGTAAGCTCTATTGACCAAAGGATAATTAGTCGGAGCCAGCGAGGAGAGATCCAATCGAATTATACGGCAAAAAAATCTTGATTTCTGGTTGGCAGCGAGCTCCACTTTTCCCGACATTACCTTTCCCATTACTATACGAAAACGATAGATGGTTTCTTTTTGAGGAGTGAACTGACTAGATCAGTTCGATACAGGGAATTCCACACTACCATTTTGGACCCGCCCTCGTTCTACACCGATGGCATCGACAAACTGCAGACTCGTTGGCAGTAACAAATGAAGAATAGTAGACAACGTTTCATTCGATCAAGAAGTGATACTCTCCTTCGATCTAAGGAGAATTAAAGGCCAAGAAATAAAAGTAGCGCTCAAATGTTTTATGCTCCTTCTGCTCCCTTACTTGCACTCCTGCTATGGCAACTGAGGTACTGAGGGCACATGAAATCGCGCTTCAGTGCCCAGTTTCATAAGCTTTGCAACCCTGGAGTAGAGATTTTCAGCGACACAGTAATTATCAGGTATTTTCGACAGATTGTTGTGACTCATACTCAAGGCGTATTACTATGAAGCACAGCACAGGTGCTAAATGTGTCAATGCGACCATAACTGCTAATATCGCCGTTCAGAAATGAAACTTGTTGTGCAAGAAAACAACCTCTTTCCACCTTGCTGTCAGGTCGCACATCGTACACAACAACCAAACTTGTGTGCAATTGTTTCTTTACTTATTGAAAGCTTCGCAGGTACGTACATGCAAGCATGGGGCCCTTCGTTTTCATAGTGGAATACCTTACAAAGGAAGGTCGTTCAGGGTGTGCCAAGCTTTTTCAAAACGGTTTCTTGCATGATATAGGGCACATGCGGGAACCACAGAACCATGGTTCATTTTTCCTGAACGGCCCTCTGAATACCAGAAAAGGGGTCCCTAGTTCGATTCCTCGTGGTGACAAATTTTTGCATTTCGAGTTGACGTTTCAAAATTCGCGCAAAATGGAGTTAGCATGAATAATTAGTACCATATTCATGATTAGGACCGTCAGTAACCCTTACAAATAGACTTTGATTAAAAAACTGGTGAAAAGGTGTGACACACAGTGGGGCCGTTTTGGTGTCACACCTTTTCACCAGTTTTTCAATCAATCTTTTTGTAAGGGTTACTGACAGTTATGGAAGGATTTCTCATCGGTCGCACGGGCGGCATCTGCAGTCCCCCCCCCCCACAGAAGCCCTCAGAATTTTCTCTAGCCCATTTATCCTTTGTGCATCTAAAAGAGCTTGTCATTCTGGGATTCGGGACCTCTTATCCAAAGCTTGTTGCGTACAATTCTTCTAACTTGATATCGGCGAATTTCTAACCAATCCTAATATGGCCTTCACTGAGCTGTGTTAGATACGCTTTTTGGGAATGCTTGACCTACTCTACGGCATCCGTGAGCGATCGATCTTTTATGTACGCCTTCTCGAAGTCGAATGAAGGTCTGCGAGGATATCCACCGAATACAGCAAACTTCAGAAGGAATTTAGTCGGCTTCCAAGAAATTACTTCTGTTTTGAAATAGATGGAGCCAGCCATGCCGATCTTACAAGTCAAATCTTATAGATGCCTTTTATTTGGTTCCTATTTCAGCTTCAAACCCGGAGTTACTCAAACTCCGTCATAGATAAGATTATAATAGATAATGTCCAAGCTATGAATTGTTCGACTCCAAGTTATCCGTTGATTGGCTCAGGCCGCATTTTCTACGTGGCATCCTGCACAGCAATCATCGTTGCATCTATAATTCTACAAACATTATTCGCCCTGGTGAGTGCTCTCAATGTCGTGGTTGTGGCTGCGATCGCAGAATGAGGACATTGATGATTCAGCAGCTATTCCGAAAATAATGAGTGACCCACCATAGAAAAAATAACAAGAAAGTGTCGCCAATTACCAAAAACAATTTGCTTTTTGCATATCACCTTAAAAGGCAAATCCAGGGATGAAACTGGTGCTATGAGCGCTTCGTAGTGATAGCTTAGCTGCGGAACGACCTGAAAGTGGAAAGGAAAGCAAGAGAATCTTTGGGAACGCTGAAATTAAGGCCTTAACCTTCAATAAGGTCGGATGTGGTACGATGGCGAGACAGGGCGATCAAAGAAGACAAAACACGCGAGAGCACGCCGTTCGAGAGAGCACGCTGATCTCTACATCAATCGAGGTGGGTGGGAAGCGTTGCAACGGGGGTCGATGGTTGCAGGCCCGTAAGGATTAGCGCCCTAACCGCGCAATTTTTGCGACGAAGCTGGAGTGATCTAGGTAGGTACGGACCTTACAATTTCCCTCGCGGTATCCTTCCACAAGTCGGGCTAATCCTGGGGTTTGCCTTTAAAGACACCTCGATATTAGACTTGTTGACCCATTCCATCGTGGTACAGGCGTAGAAGCATTAAGGTCCTGCACCTTTCATGGCTTGAAAAGACGGAAGTGTGGATTGCAGGCTTTTAGCGACAAAGGCGCTAACTAGGGAGGTCTTTCAGGGCAAGCCGCGCTTTTTGGAAACGGTTTCTTGCATATTGTAGGGACGCATGTATGGACCACAAAACGTTTTCGCTGAACGGTTTTAGTAGTATCAAAAAAGTGGTGAATGATACCCTTGATGGTTCTCCCCCGCGGCGACTAAATTTTGCAATCAAGGTTGGCGGCCACTTGTTGGCTTCAAAATGGTCCTGACGATGAATTGACATCTGATTTTGACATTTAGCGCGATTTGGCACCAAACCGTAGGCGCCAACCCAAATGCAAAATTTAGTCGCCACGGGGGATCGAACCATTAACAGTACCTTATGCTTCTTTTTTGGTACTGCTAAAACCGTTCAGCGAAAATGAAACATGGTTTTGTGTTCCCTACATGCGTCCCTACAATATGCACAAACCGTTTTGAAAAAGCGTGGCTTGCCCTGAAAGACCTCCCTTGTAAGAGCCCGCAATCCACACTTCCGTCTGCAAGCTTAGTCTTCGGCCGATATCTGCTTCTACGCTTGCATTTCGACAAGGGCGTGCCGCAGTTGCGGCAGCGTCAGCATTATGGCTCGTGACTGGCCCGTGAGAATCTGGAAAATCTGGCTGGCCCTTCGTGAAACTCGTCCACTCACGGATCTATACCGAAGAGAAACTGGAAGTCGAGAAGATAGGGGCAAGAAGTCCAGATTGTACAGACGAGTAAGACGAAGACACCACCGATTGACAAATTTCAAAGCGCAGTAGGTTGGGATCAGATGGGAGGCGGTTCAACATTGGCCCAACTTTGCACCGCGGAATCACTGCCAACACTTCCTACGTCACCAGACCATCAAGGTAAGGGGTTTCCTTCCTCCAAATGATCGTAAACGATTAACAAAGAAGAAGAAGTTCCAAACTGTTCTCATACCTTCTTTGCTGAACAAACATATTATAGTGTTGTAGTAGATAGATCATTGTAGAATAACTCACAAGCGTAACGACTATGTTTTTGATGCTTCGTCTTGACGTCGCATCAAAAGTGTGGAACACAGCGTGACAATGAATGGGAGTTTAGCTTACGGTTTGTGTAGCGAAAATGTACAAGACGTTGCGCTATCTCCTTTTCGAGAATATACTGAAGATTCGTCAAAACGGAGGCAAAGGTTTCCATGAATTCTTTTGAAGGAAATCATCCTGAAGATTGCTGAGCTTATGATGTTGTAGTACTTGGCTGGCGCCATGAACATTTGCAAGTGTTGCTTGGTTAGACCATGCTTATCGCAGACGATTAATATTCACTTCTTCGGCAAAAGGTGCGAACTGCAGACGAATCCATGGCGCATCTCGAAAAGAGACTGATCAGCAACAATTCAATAGGCAATCTGCTTTGTTCGATTCTTCGGAGTAGTAATTAGAGACATAATTAATAGGCTGTCCGGGAAGTTATGAGGGTGATACGACCTCTACCCTCAATGTGGCAAACCTCAGCACTTACAAGGAAAGACTCCCAGGTCGCCATGGCCATTCAAGAAGTGGTACATGTCAACAGATGTGCCTTCGAACGCTGATCTCAAATCTACCTTCCAAATCTGCTAAACGATTCTCTGAACGGAGTTATGAAGCAAAACAGCGCAACGGTAGTGGTCGGGACTCACAGTCAAAACGTCGTAGGATCGGTCCCTTATCGTGTTTACTGTTTTCCATTCTTCAGGAATATAGCTAAACGGCTTTCAATAGCCTATAACTGAATTCCTGAAGAATGCAAAACAGTAAAACGATACCGATCCTACGACGTTTTGACTGTGAGTCCCGACCACTACCGTTGCGCTGTTTTGCTTCATAACTCCGTTCAGAGAATCGTTTAGCAGATTTGGAAGGTAGATTTGAGATCAGCGTTCGAAGGCACATCTAGTCGTATACATCTCTTCTGGCCTTGGCTACCCAGGAGACATTCCTTGTTGAAAAATTTCATAGGCAGAAAAAGATTAAATTGTGTCGTCACGCTTAATTTAGGGCACCCGTAGGGCCAAGTGTTCTCAATATTTTCCTTACACAAGAAGCTGTAAGTGCAGATGAAGATGTGAATGTTGGTAAGGGAGGGAGGTACTGAATGCGGCTTGCGAAGAAAAGTTTCGCAGGTTTGTTCTTAGCTACTGGACTGCAGACGCTGTAGCTGACGGCACACTGGCCGATGTTCTATACAAACTTAGCTACTAGATTAGAGCCACCTTATTTCAGAATGTTGGATCGTATCAGGCAGAGGAACAATCTTTCTCAATTCGTTACGAAATATATTAATTTTGCAGGGCTTACTATTTCAGACGTGTCAGAAAATGAAAGGCTGGAAGTCGAACTTCGCATTCTACCTTCTGCAAATCATGGCGATATTCAGCCTTCTTAACTATATTGGGTTGTTGGTTTCCTATATTCACGGTCTGATTCTCTTCGAATCGCCGGAGCTCTCCAGGGTACGATCAGAATTCTAAGATATCATGTGAATGAACATGTAAACAGATCATATGGCCTTTTTAGGTGCTGTTAGACTAAGCCTAAGGAGGACAACAGTTCCGAGAAACATGGAAACTGCCTACGTACCCTGCATTCACTCCTTCCTCTACTAAGGCTCAGTACCGCTTCCAGCAAAGAAAGACATGCTCTACGCGGTTTTCGTTTTCGCGGAAGGAATCGTTCACGGAAGAATCGTGCTTCTCCTCCATAGAAAAACCAGAGGGTTATGAGACCCATCACACATGATAAGAACGAAAACAACAAAGAAACTGAGATTGTTTCGGTCAGCAACTGGAGATACCGGAAGGATTGTACGCATCCAAACTTCTACCGTATAACTACTACAAATGTTGGCGCCGGGAGGGCTTCCATCTGTGTTCGGAATGCAGTTACTATTAACTCTTGAGCCTTTTCCCGCTATGGCAGTAACATTTTTCTTTTCTGCTGCATCCAATTCTTTCGATGTTGTCTTCTCCAGATTCGAACGCTTTTACTCAATCCGTCCAATGCGTCGCCTGATACGTGATCTCTATGAGGCGCACTCCTTTCCATGCATTCACTTGCCTCCTCCCGACCTACACGCAACCGTTCCTTGTGAGCGGTTTTCGTAGGTCATCTTCTCTTCGGGAACCTTGCGTAAGACTTTGTATGTTGTGTCTTGCTTCTGTTTGCCTTTCATTTCTGTTATGGTAGAACACTTTATTGGTCGACGTTTCGAACAAATCGTCGTTTTCAAGACCTAAAAATTGGTTCGAAGCTCTAGTTTGTAGCCTATCCGCTTACACCCCACTAGTGCCAATTATCACGTTTCACAATAAGGTTCCAGCTAAAAACAACCTCTTACGGCTCCACCAGTACTGCATCCCCGCGCGGCTCCGTGAACAGCTGGACGAAAAATGAAATGCGAAGTGTGTTGTCTTCTGTGACCGAAATTGATGTGTATATGTTGGAGAAGAATGCAGAAACTTCCCGCGAACGATTCCTTCAACTGCAAATCCCGAACGCTGAGCAGTGGGTTGGCATTCCGAAGGTTTTCCCAAATCCTCGAAATTATGGCCACTTTGACCTTCTGTCGGAGTCTACTTGCTCAAATTTGACAAATATTACACGAGCACATCAGTAACTGTTTTATGAATCGGAAACAAAGTGGTCAGAAATTGAGCGTCGGATTCAACTGGATGCACATATTCTTCTTTGCTAATGGATTATACTTCAGGTAACAGGGTCGAACTATCAAGGCAGCTTCTTCGCTTATGTCTTAGCCAACATCTGTCTCACAGCTCACCGTCTTTTTTATACCCTGCTTCCGATGAAGGCACAATTCATACTGACAACGACAGTCGTGAGGGTAAGGTCAAGAAAAATATACTTCTTGAAATATTTGTGTTTTCAGTTCTCTACAACAGGCTAAGCCTTTGAGTCTTGAGGACGAGTGGTAACAAATTATGGTCGACTTGACGTTGGAAAAAATTTCAAGCATTTCGAGACGCCTAACCCTTAAGCGGGGCTCGATACGATCCCATAAGCACCCACACGAAAAGAAAATGCTATTTTTCATGCACCACCCTTGAGAGAGCTTCTGCGATTAAACTTCTCGCTGTGGATAACTGACCGTTTGAGTCCCAAAACGTGCCTTTGAATCAAAAGATGGGTATACCATTAGGATCATTATCCCTATTCTCATTAGTGAGGGAAAAGCTGCAGGCACCACAGAAGCACCAGAATTCTCTTGGTGAGGTTGGCCGTGGCACGATGGAGAACACAGCGCGGTAAGGCATGGGAAAACGCGAAAGAGGCAAGCGTTAAGTATGTTACGATTTATAAAAATGGGTGCCGTCACAGTGTCAAGCGAAAGGATTACCTCCCTTGTTGCGCACATTCAAGTCACAACACTGCCATTACACCTGTGATTAGAGATTCTACTACCACGCTCAAAGAGAAATCTTTAAGACTCTAAACAGCAGTTAACAAACAAAACAAGTCTAAGACTCTAATTGCAACCGAACCTTCAAGAAACAGCTCTAAACTTTGCTCTCAACTTAGAAATTGTCGATTTTAGGACTCCTCCATCTTTTTCAAAGCTCCTTAAAATTACTTTAGCCCAACTGGGTCCTCTTCTCGTCTTTTCCGAAGATCGACTTCTACTCCACCAAGTCGAATCCCTGCCCTTCCCAGAGCGACATAGGCCTTTTTCGTTCGAGTTGTCGAAAAACCCTCAACGTTAGCTAACCCTGCTCAGCTTCCGATTTCCTCCAGATTCTTTACTATTCTGCCATACAAAAATATATCATCAGAGTCAATAGAATAAAAATAAATAAAAAATAATATCAAAGAGCAAAGCAAAAGAGTAATTCTCGAATAGGAATCAACCATTTACAGATGTGTATGGTGTTCATACTATTTTTCTTTGTCGGCGTACATGGCGATTACTCTGTCACCATTGGCGTCCGTACACTTCTGTGCAGCTCACTTTTTCTTCTACTTTGAGGAGAGCACCTCTGTATCCATTCATTTCATGGTACGTCCAGATTCACTATTTTCATCAATAATAAGCATGCCTGAAATATGACATCACTGCGTTAATAGTACTACAAGATCAATATTCGACGTGTTCAACATATTAAGGTGCCTTTGGAGGAAGGGCACCAGGCAAGCCGGCTTGTGCTATGTTATTGTAGCTGTTCCTCGAAAGTCAATTCAAATAAATTCCTCTCGATGCTTAGAAAATGAAAGTTCGAGAATGGAAAAGTTCCACTCAAGATCGAGGAGGCAGTTCAATTAGCAAGACGGCTGCGCTTTGGCATGAGAAAGGCATTCGTGGAGGAAGGTACCTCTCGAATCTGCGCTTCGCCGACGACATCGTTCTCTTCTCAAGTAGCACTACGGAAGCTGAGACGATGCTCGCTGAACTGAATGAAGCAGGAAAGAAGGTGGGGTTGCGGATCAACCAAAAAAGACACAGTTCATGAAGAACGCTTGGTCCGATGGAAGGCGGAATCAAGATTGATGGCACACCTATCAAGGAAGCCACATCTTACGTTTATCTCGGACGATCCATGAACATGGACAACGATATGAAAGAAGAGCTAGGAAGACGACAGAGAGCAGCGTGGGCAGCCTTCGGACCTCTGAAAGAAGTTACCAATCATCTGGCTGACCCAGAACTTCGTGCGCATTTGTTTGACTCTACAGTTCTTCCTGCGCTTTGTTACGCGGCTGAGACATGGGTGAGCAGTGCATCCACGTCAAGGACTTTGACTGTAGCTCACAGAGCGCTCGAGCGATGTCTTTTGAGGTTTAATCGATTTACTCAATATCGAGACTCCGCAGCGCAGACCTACGCAGAATGTCCCGTCTCCGAGACCCTGTGGAGTACATGACAAACGCCAAGCTACGATGGGCCGGTCATATCATGAGGAGAGCAGATGACAGGTGGACAAGAAGAACGGTAGAGTGGACTCCGTCCAAAGGGAGACCTGCTGCGAGATGGGGAGATGCACTCGTCAATCACATAAAGCAGCTGCGAATGCAGCTGAACGATGCTTCAGATCGCCGTCTCCGCCGACTTCTACAACAACCATGGATGGCGATTGCGAAAGAACGAAACGAATGGTTTGTTGCTGGTGCTCGCAGATGAAATGAGGACGAGTCGTATAAGTATAAGTATAAGTATAGAATAGCCACCGAGATCGCAAAGAAGCATGGAAATTGCGGCATGATATTATTCTTGCACGACAACGTTTGTCCACGCACTAAAACAGTGACCCGACAGAAGCGACTCGACTCTGGGTGGAAAAGGGGAAGCAACCCACTGTACAGCCAGGATACTGATCCAACAGAATACCACCTTTCCCTTTTCATCGAATGCCATACAAGGGAAAACGTTGAAGATGACATAGATCGCGGGTTGAGTAACTTTTTCGAGTCGAACTCAGGGCAGTTCCTTGATAAAGGCAGCCGAAGTCTGCCCGAAAAGTGGCAAAGAGTGATAGAGTGTGATGGTGATTACCTTGCATTCCTCATGTGTTTTGTTTCTTTCAAAAAGTCAGAAAAACGATAACTGTCGAAAACCGCAAAGACTTCTCGTGTAAGTATGAGAAATTAAGTAAGAGGGTGGCCGCAAGTTCCGGGCAACAGATGAAGTTTCGAATGAAGCTTTCGCATATTTGGTTCTTAATACAATCGCGGTGGGAAAGAAGAGTTGCGATGGTTGCATTTTTTAACGATTAGCGCCCTGACTGCGCCCTTTGGGTGATGGAAGTGGCACCTTCTGTTGGTTCACACCTAACCACTTTGATCCCGTGACGCGGTTTCTGCTAGTTACCCTGATCCCGGGATTTGGCTTTAAGTATTGCGGGATGCGTTATGTCTGCAGTGGTCATCTAGAATGCTTCTTCATAAGGAATTACCAAGCTTATGGCTAGCATGGCAGCATCTTGCAAAGCTTGCACAATCAAGAGGCTCCGCGATTCTCGCAGACCTTAGTCATCCTCTTTTTGGAGGATCGTCATGAAATGGGTGCAGCCATGGAAGAAAAAGTCATTTCTTTCTGCCTCGTTGCATGTTTCATCAAATTTCATCGGGTTGTGTTACTTGGCAGTGACATCTCATGCGGAAGCTACATTCCTCCTCAAGGTTTCCTCACGCCGTTGCATTATATGCACTTGTGTAAGCGGTAATCAGCCGGCAGTATAAGCGAGGTGTGCCATCTTTGCAGCCAGCAGAATTTGTTGCGAGGCAAAAGCGCACAAACTCGAAGCCCGCACACCTCGAAACCACTCTGCCCTCGAACGTAGTTTTCAAGTTATGAAGTTTTCACTATTGTTGCCGCTGGCGTTCGATTTCATTTAGAATGCTTAGCACCGCAGCAAACGTTCAAGCATTAAATTCATTCAAGTACCTAATATGCCTCTCTTATACTCCACGGGCACGCTTACCTGAACTACCATCATCTAAGTCTCAAGCCCGTCCGTAGTCAACAGTCTGAAAGGACATTCCTGTTTCCGAGCATTGACGACTAATCCAAATCTCTTTGTTGTTTCCTTACAGTTTGGATCTGCTTTCATAATTAACACCATAAAATTATTGCGGTTGCCGCCTTGAAGGCAGAATTTACAATGAGAAAGTTAGCTCATTGGAAATAGGGTAGAGGTGGTCAGTGGAGCAGGGATGAAGAAGAAACCTGTGAAACGGCCGAAACCCGAAGCGAATTCCTGCGAAAAAATGGGACCCCTTCCTTGCCCGTTGATTTGCGCATTGATGCGACTCTCATCGCTCCACTACGCTCTCTCTGCTATCTAATCACTCGCCACGTATAGACCTGCGGCGAGTGATTAGATAGTCGGTGGGCGTACCCCGCCAACCGCGCCAAGAGTGAGCCATGCTAGATCGCCGAGGTCAAATCTTTCGCTGCCAATTGCGCGTCGGTCAGCACCCTCAGGAGGTCCGCCTGTCTCCCAACTATGCAATTTTCCCTTCTTTGACCTTCGTTCTTATCGTGAATTCCTCCTTCAATCTCAGCTTTCGGTCGTATATTTTTCGATTGGTCCTTATTTCTTGCATCCTTGCGATAACGACAGCATTGCAGTGACAAAAGTAGATTTAAATAAAACAAGACGAACATACCCTCATGATACGTTGGAACTTCGTAACATGCTATGAAATCTTTGGAATTCCATAACATGCTATGAAATTTTACTGGCCTTATAACCGACAATGAGGCCTTCACGTGTTCAATCCTTCAAATCGATTCAGCTTCCGTGATACGTATTGTATTTACTCTAGGCTGAAATCAACTATCCAACTATTTGACTTGGCATTGTGAACGTGACGGCTTATACTATTATGTTCACCACAATGTTCATCAAAGGAAGTCTTACCTTCAAAACCAACAGTGAAATAAGAATGACGGCGCAGGTAAGACTATTTGGAAGTTGTGACAATTTTGAAGCTTCAGTCAAGTGCTAATCAAATATTCATTCTACACTGATCTATCCCACTTGGAGTGCATAACTCCTTCGGCTCAGAGTTGTGAAGGCACTCGAATGCACTTTGACCTATGTGTAAGTCCACCGATGCACAAATTACTGCTATCATCCTTCCAGACAGCTTCGATTCTAAATGGAGACAATATGCCTACTTAGTCTATGCGTCAGGCTGCAATTTGACCTTGCACGTGGCGGCAGCGTCATTTAACCTTCTGAGCATACAGGGTGGGGCATAATTATGATGACAAAATTGTTCTGAAAAAAGCACAATAACAAAACCATGAGTGGGGCCCCTGACTGTATACTGTATAAAATTCGCCAGATTTGCATATAATTCCTCGGTTTCGCGCTTCGATACTTCTTCATTGGTAAATGGTGTCACCTCATCCGAATCGAGCTGCAATTCTTGCCCTTCACGCCACAG